TTAAATACCATCAATTTTTCATAATGGCAGAACTGCCATTGAAGTAGCTGGTGATGGATTTATTGTGCGCCATTCTTTCTCTGGATGTGAAAATCCCCAAACTTCAGCTAGTGCAACAAATGACGAGTCAAAATCTTCACTTGAGGTGAATGAAGGGGCACTGTGCCTGTTAAATGCCAGTTTAATTTCATTGATAATGTACGTAGGCAGTTAACTATTTATCTGTATATAAATTTGTTTATGTAAACGTCTTAATGGCATTTGATGATGTGTAGATTTCTGCTAATTCCATGCAGTGACATTTTAGAGCCATATCTTCAGTCTTATTTTTAGATTTGTAACATTTTTAAACTGCTTTAGATATTAGTGCTCAGTGTTTAAAATATATGATGCTCTTTGAGATTTATATGTGCTGAACCTGTTCAGAAAGAAGGTGTTAATGTGGTACTAGAACGAGGACAACAGTTTTTAAAACCCATCCTGTCAGAGCCAGTTTACACTATAGATGTAACTAAGTTAGGGAGTTGATTGGAGTTTGTTCCTGATCCATTTTATTCAGGTCATTTTATGTAATGTGGTGGGACCTGTGTGCGCTTTTACAGGGCTAGACTTTGAGTATTGGTGGTGTACACAGCCCTGAGAGAGGTGCCCTGTTTCCTTAACTAGGCTGTGCCCTTAGAATCTGTCTGATCCCCTTCAGTGTTCTTGACGTTTCCAAATAATTTAGGAAATATGTTTGTGCTGCAGTTTTCCCTACCCAGTGCAACTGGATATTGGCTCAGCTTTTACAAGGGATCCTTGCTAGGTAGATTGATAGGCTTCTGCCGCTCTGCAGTTCCTCCATCTTACTGACAGCTCTGGGTGCTGTTCAGCCTGCATTAATCCTTGGACTAGAGCACTGAAACCCAGCTCCTGTACAGATGTTTGTAGCGTGAGGTTGGTACAAACTGGACATACATAACCATTTGAATGCCACTGCTCCCTTCTGTAGAGGGAGCCTTCTAGTTTGTAGTGTACCATTGAACTGCTTATACACCTTAAAATAAATACCACTGATAGCTTGGAAAGTTTAATTTTGTTGGCTATATTGGGAAGGGAAAAGGCAGGAAATCTTGTCAGTGTTCAAGTCCTATGAGAACTGATAGTCTGCTTCACATACCGCATTTGGAGACTTCAGTGTTATCTAAATGAGAGACCACAAGCCTGAAGTCCCTGTTTCATTCCAAGAAGGTGCTTTCTTCAAAGGCTAAGCTACTTTAGGGCAATTGTTTGTCTCTTGCCTGCCACGCCAAACTCCATAATTCGGGAAGACACATTTTCATTTGAAAGTAAAATGCCAATATTACATGCACCATTCTGTTTATTGCTAGAGGGAAATGCTGGGTATCGGTAGGTTACATACAGATATAACCCGAATAGACTTCTCAAGAATTAATGGCTGTCTTCTTCCCTACTACATTTTCACAACCAACAAAGAATGTTTCCTTGTTGTTGTTTGTGGATAGTTGCTGATCATATTTTGTGTGCAGCAGTGGTTGCAAAAAGATTGAAAGACTTATTTGAATCCTGTCAACTGCCCTTTGATCCTGTCCCATGAGACTGTGTGACTGGAGGTGTAACAAAATACATGGATAGTTCCTGATTCCTGTGCTGGTTTTAGCTACGCTGTACCCTGTGCAGTGGGGGATTCAACGTAGTTTGCAAATCAAGGAGGTCCAAACCTTGTGCTGTAAGTATGGGATTGCAATATCGTGTATGTGTGTATGTATGTATGTATGCACATATGTATATATTTATACAACATGTGTTCACTTGGTACTGCTGCTGTCTGATGGTAAAACATTAAATTTGCTTCCCAGCACTACTCGTATGAACTCTCAGCCAGACAAGTGAAGGAGTTAGTTTTGTGCGCCCAGAATCACAACTTCTCCTTTCAGCTGCAGGAAAAAGAAGTAGCTCTGTCAGTGAATGGCCGGTGAAGAAAACAATGAACAGATCCTATTGTATAAATAGAATTAGATACAGTGTTTGAGAATGTCATGCCATAGGTAAGGGGGCGGGGGGGAATCCTCTCAGCTTCTGTGTCCACAAAGTCTTCCCTCCTTGCTAGAAAAACTGTATCTTGAATAATAAGATGCCTTTGCACTGTCTGGTTCAGTAACCCCAATTTTTGTTGCTTACAAACAGACTGAATTCAAAAGGGTGGCATGGAATTGATTATGAATTGTAACGTAAAACTAGTGGTGACTTCAAAGCCACACAGATTATGGCCAATGTTCATGTTACTACCACCAAATTACTTCTAGTCATCTTGGTTAGAGAACGCCAGGTGGTCCTGCTTGGGCCTCATTGCCCTTAAGGTGTTTCCTAACATGAACACAAAGTACATGCACAAATCACATTTGGTTTTCTATTTGCTAATGGCAATCAGCACAAATGTGAAAATCTATAGGGATCAAGGAGGGGTTCCTTTTGCTACTTAAATGTTTGAAATGACATTTGTGTCTGTCACAATAGATGAACCTTGACATTTGCCAAGCTCAAAAAACTTTTGCTGTTAAGGTTTCCTTTTTTGGTGCATGTGTGCCACTTTAGCCAATTGCTGTCATTCCATTCATTCTGCCACTTTTTGGGGTAGAAGAGGAGGCGCTATTGGTTGCCTTGTCACAGACATCCAACAAGGTTTATATTTGTTTTGCATGTGAGCAAGGCCCTGAGATAAGCAATTCACTGTGGGTTTGTCATATCGGCCTCTTATGAAGCCTGTGGGAGCTGAAGATGTAATGAGAGAATGCATTTCACATTTGCACTGTTTTTCAGCTCTGGTGGGGTGAGGGAAAAGCCCTTGTTTAAAAAAATGTTAGCAGTTGTAAAAACAAAGGATTAAAGCATCTGAAAAGCAATTATATATGTATAGACATATATATATATATTTTGTTATGTAACTAAAGGACCATACTTTGAATTGTATGTAAGTAGATGTGGCTGTCTGAACTTTGTGGATTGTAACACTCGATACTACTGAGCTCCTGTACATACATACGGTTAAAGCAGAAGGAATTATTTTATGTTTTAGCATGGTAATGTGTAATGTATGTCTCAGTATAAACTAAAATAGATTGCTAAATTATCTGAAACCACTGTTGTAAAATAAATGTTTTCAATGCAGAAACATTTGTTTGGGTTTTTTCTTTCCATCTTTAATGCAACCTTCTTTGGCTACCAAGAGCATCACTCTGCGACGTCAACCACAGCACAGAGGGTGTTAGCATAGCACCTTTGAACACTTGTCCACATCATGAACATCACCACACGCTTGGTGGTTGCTACTCAGAAGAGCCTGGAATAGTAGGGGTGTAGGTTGGATTTCAGGTGAAGGGGGAGTTTTGCCTGTAGTCGATTTCACTAAAGGTTTTCCCGTTATTGAATGTGCACACACCTGTTGGCTCTTGACTTGTGAGTATTTAAATATCCTTGAAATAACCTGGTTTAGGATTCCCGTACACTGGTGTTTCTCAACTTTTCCTCACCTCCGACCCCCAAATCACTCACTTTTTTCTCCCATAACTCTACATCCCAGAATCTATTGTGCTATTTTGATTCAAAAGACTTTTGTGATATGTAATGCAACATTACATTTTAGTTCCTTGTGTCATACATGCAAAAAGTAGGCACATTTAAAATACTGAACATGTAAAATACATGAAGACAACTTAAATTTTCAAAAGGAAAAAAAAATCCAAAACTTGCCATAAATGTCCAGAATTGTTGCATATACTTATAAAGCTTTACCAACAGACTGTTGGTTTTTACAGAATTACATATGGAAAATAAACCTCATGACACACATTTATTCTGTTTGTTTGCTTTTATGAATTATTTGTATATGTGCTTAGATGGGCATTCTATTAATCTTTAACGGAGTAATCCTTCATAAATGTTATTTTATCATAACGAGACCATTTGAATAAAATGGGAACTAGCATACATCACGTGAAGCCTGTAAGCTAGCACATCATATCTTTGCCTTGATAGAGCTAAGAATCCATAGGGTGTGGAAAACTGCGCATATCTGTCAAGAACACATTAAAAAGGAGAGGTTTCCTTTTCCATCTTAGATACATGGTTGCCAACACCATACTGTCTGAGCACCTCACAATCTTTTAATGTATTTATCCTCACAACACCCTGTGAGGGAGGGCAGTGTGATTGTCCCCCTTGTACAGATGGGGAAACCGAGGCAGAAAGGATAAGTGACTTTCCAAGGTCATTCCGGAGGGTTGTGGCAGGGGCTTGAGCCCAGATCTCCCAAGTCTTAGGCTAGAGCTCTAACCACTGGATCATTCTTCCTCACTTTGCAACCTCTTATTTAAGTCACAGTAATGGATGCTGTGCAAGATCAAGATTTATCCTGCAGTTAGTCTACTGCTGCTGTGGTAGGAGAAGTAGCCATTATGCAACCCTCGCTCCATCCCCTAATCAAACTGCTGAGCTTTTCTCCTGGCTGTACTTTTAACTGCTCTCAATCTCACATTGGGGACCTTTGAGTGCTGCTGAAATATAAACAGTCAGATTTTAAGGCTTCCTTGCACTAGGGAAACCCCTGTTCCAAAGAGCTTATGCGTCCTGGATGTGTGCACCCTAGCTCTGTATGAACTAATTTAAATGTGCTTGAGTCCTTTTTCGCTTCACCACCTATAGTGGACGTCTCTGTTGGGTAATACACTGACACTGGGCTCTGAAGTCAGACTGAATGAGCCGCCTTTCCCTCCAGAGATGAGCAAGAACCTTAATAGTAACATGAGATGGGAATAGCCTCCGCCATCAAATTCCCGGAGTCCTAAAGTGGAGCTGAAGCAGAGCCCCAGAGACCACCAGGCCAACAGCTGCATCCAGCACTTAATCTGTGTGGCAGGCTGCTTTCCCCTTCCATATCTTCCTGTGCTCTTCCTCGGTGCTTCCTTGCTCTGTTGCTTGAGTGCTGCTGGGTTTGGGGGAGCAGGGAGAGTCGAGGGCTGCATTGGCTTTCTTGTCATGTCTATCCAAATGGAATACAACTCCTATCGGCGGGATCACCCCATCGACAGCCTGGAGAGGCAGCTCATCTGCCCTATTTGCTTGGAGATGTTCACCAAACCTGTGGTAATCCTGCCTTGTCAGCACAACCTGTGCCGGAAATGTGCAAATGACATATTTCAGGTGAGTAATCCCAGTTGCAGCCTTCTGCTCCTAGGGAGAGGGTTTTTTTTATTTATTTAATCCAATTGATACTGCAGGGTCCTGCGTCTGTGTTTGTAAGTAGGCAGGAAGAGATCACACGGTTGGAATATGGATGGATCATTTGGGTAGGAAAGGGAAGTGCCCCCAAATTGTCCTCTTCATCAACCCTTTCCAGCTTCTGCTAAATTTTCACACACACAATCCTCTCAGGAAAGGAAAGGAAACCACTGAACTCCTTTCCCGCTGGTCAGGGCTGTGTTAGCTCCCTCTGTCAAGGGACCTGGGACCCTCAGAAACTATGATTTTAACAGCCCAGTTTGCTGTGAGGTAGGAGCGAACTATCCCCTGTTCACAGATGGGGAGCAGAGGCAGAGAGGTGAAATGAATTGGCCAAGGCCACACCGGGAGCCTGTGTGCAGAGCCAGGACTAGAATGCCGATCATCTGAGTTCCGGTCAAGTGCCTTGACCACAAGACCATCCTTTTACATCTGTCCCATGTTTCCCCATCCTGCCCCCCCCAAAAAACAAGGAATAGTGTCTATAAAGTTAATGTATAGAAAGCTTGAGCAGAAAGTTGGGAGGGACCCAGCTTGTGTTACTCATGCATCTGATTCCCCTGTTAAGGGACCAATGTCCTTTTAAAATGTATGAAAATGCTAAGTGCTCCATTTCTGGGGCAAGAGACTATAAAGAGGAGATCTAGTAGTGGCTATGATGGTTGTCTGCTCCAGGCAGTTATAACACACACCTAGCAGTGTTGTAGAGAAGTTTGTGCTTAACGGGCCTCTAACAAAATGACTAAAGTTTCCCAAAAAGTCAAGCAATGTCTTTATGCACAACAAGAGCGAGAAATGTGGATGAGCTGTCAATAGACATGAGGGGCTGCTGATGCCAAACATGTTAGGAAAAACTATTCTAGTGTGTTCATAAGGAATGGGCTGGCACGTTGGCAGCTCAGTAATACATCATTTTCTTTGGTGGCAATCTGGGCATTCATAATGACACATGGCATTTTATTAAGAAGCACCACCACCCCTGAGACAGGTCTGTAAGTCTTACTGTCTCCATTTTACAGATGGGAAGATGGAGTCACTGATGGGTGAAGTGACATGCACAAGGCTATGCTGGGAGTCTGTTTGAGCCATGATCACAATATAGATGCTCTGAATCCTGTGCTTGGGCCATGGGATCAGGATCTCCCTCAGCATAAAGTGTTAACGTTCTCACATCACAGCATGCAGGAATGTTGGGCATGGTGATAATACACCCTGAAGTTTTAATAGCTTTTAACTCCTTCATGGCTCTTTGCTGCTGATCACCACTGACGTTGAAGGGCTAATTCCTTATCTGATTGAAATTAACTGAGTGGAATAACTTAATGTTTCAAGAGAAGGTTTTCTTTCTGGTAGCAGTACCAGAATTATCTTCTTGAGTCATGTGCAGATGGCTCAGCATAGCTGAGGGGTTGTGCATATACTTATTCCAATCCTTCTGTTGTCCTGGGGGATTTTCATCACCTGCCTTTGGGCTATTAAATATCTTGTGTTTACACTTAGCTGCTGCACTGCAATCCCTCCCTTTAAAAGTGCCCCCTCTTCTCATTTTGCTTCCTATGTGACAGGTTTGCAAAGGGTGCTTCGGGTCATGTGATTCCTACCAAACCAGTCTGTGGCCAGGTGAGCAGCCCACCTGTAGCGGCATCTAATGACGATCCTTTTTGTGTTTCAGTCTCGTGGGACAACCTTGGGCTCCGCCGGCCGCTTTCGCTGCCCATCCTGTCGCCATGAAGTGGTGCTGGACAGGCACGGTGTCTATGGCCTACAGAGGAATCTACTAGTGGAGAACATCATTGATATTTACAAACAGGAGTCAGCAAGGTATCCAACACGCTGTGTGTGCGTGTGTGTGTGTGAGAGAGAGAGAGAATCAGTACAGCCTGCAAACTCTGTAATGTGTCTCCTTGCAAAATATTATTCCGCCATTAGAGGTCTCTGTGTACTGTATAGAGTTCCAGACAGGCTCCACTCCCTGGTAAAGAAAGAAATCAAAGCTAAAAATCAGCCTGTTTGTGTCTCTAGTTGTCGCTGTTTTCTTTAATCAAGGTCTTCTGCATAAGAGCTTCGATTCCATAGATTACGACAGACTCGACTGCCTCTGTGTAAATGAGATGGCAACTCCAGATCAAAGGTGCCCACTTTATAAGCCAAAAAAAGAGTGTTTCTAACTGTTAACTCACTGTGGGATCTGAGAGAAAAACTGGGGTCTTTCCTTTTCATGCATCATCACCTTGTACTAAAGGTCTTACAGGCCAAACTGCTTTCTATAGTACCTTTGCCTCCGGGGCGTTTGCACGTCTGCAAGTAGAACGTAGCAAACAATTCTGTTGATGACCCACGATCGGAAATAGAACCCTGCTCCCCCGCTCTCAGCTGGGTTGGCTCTGCAGGGCTAACAGAAGTAAAAAAGGGGGGACACTTCCTTACTAAAGTCAGCAGAGCTGGGGTGCCCCGTTGATGTACGTACGCATCGTGAGAGACAGTCCCTGCCCCGAAGAGCTTACAGCGTCAGTAGACAAGACAGACCAAGGGGGTGAGGGGCACAGAGTGGGAAGTGACTGGCCCTCAGTTGGGGACTGGGAGCAGAACCCAGATCTCCTGACCTCCTTCCATCCACTGGATGCTGCCTCCCCTTGTTCGTTTCCTGTTCCTGCTGATTTTGGTAGGACGGAAATGAGGTGAGCCTCTTTGGTGCGAACACCAGTGCAGAACTCCTAGCAGAGGGCACAGCTCACCTACCTTTGCAGCTGGTTGGTTTCCATTGCCCCGGAGCAGGGGTGGGCAAACTTTTTGGCCCGAGGGCCACATCGGGGTATGAAACTGTATGGAGGACCGGGTAGGGAAGGCTGTGCCCCCCAAACAGCCTGGCCCCTATCCGCCCCCTCCCACTTCCCGCCCCCTGACTGCCACCCTCAGAACCCCCAACCCATCCAACCCCCCCTGCTCCTTGTCCCCTGACCACCCCCGCCATTAACCGCCCCCCGAGCCCCACCCCCTATCCAATCCCCCCCTGTTCCCCGTCCCCTGCCCCCCTGAACCTCTGCCCCATCCAACCGCCCCTGCTCCCTGTCCCCTGACTGCCCCCCGGGACCCCCTGCCCCATATCCAACCCCCCAGCCCCGGTCCCCTTACCATGCCGCTCTGAGCAGCATGTCTGGAGCCACACCTCCCACCGGAGCCTGCCGCGCTGCCCTGCAGGAGCGCGCAGCCCCGCCGCCCAGAGCACTGCCCACGCGGCGGCATGGCTGCAGAGGAGTGGGGACAGCAGGGGAGGGGCCGGGGGCTGGCCTCCCCAGCCAGGAGCTCAAGGGCCAGGCAGGCCGATCCCGCGGGCTGGATGTGGCCCGTGGGCCGTACTTTGCCCACCTCTGCCCTGGAGCCTGGGTCTCAGTACTGACTTCTCAGCATCTACCCTATCGGGCTTCCGGTCTTGGCACTGGTAGGAGGAAGAAAAAATAAAACCCCATCTTGACTTTCCACTTTTCCGCGCCTCTCTCATATGCCGTCTCCCCCCATTTAGCTCCAGACCTCTGTTAAAGACAGAACACCCAAGCTGCGAAGAGCATGAGGAAGAAAAGATCAACATCTACTGCATGACGTGTGGGGTGCCCACCTGCTCCCTCTGCAAGGTCTTCGGGGAGCACAAGGAGTGTGAAGTAGCTCCCCTGTCGGACATCTACATGAAACAGAAGGTTGGCCTCTCCCTGGCATTTGCTCACAGGGGTGCCTGGTACCTGGATCATTGCTACCAGGGTGGAGGGGAGAACGTTGGGCATCTTGTTCTTACAGAGTGCAGACTTTTATCCACTCCAGGCTCTGCTGCGAGGGTACTAGACAAAATGAAGATTTAAAATTATGCCTATATACCAGCAGCTCTCCCACTGCATCCAGTGTAGGTCCTGTCCACTAGAGAAGACCGTTCAGAAGCTTCAGGTGCTGAGTTCAGTGTTACTGTTCATTCACCCCACTAGTACATAGGGACCATGCAGAACATGCAACAAGATAGACCAGAGGTTCATTGGGGTGTGGGGGAGGTAGGGAGATGGTGCACACAGTATGCCAGCACTGTCCACCTAAGGATCTCAAAGACTTTTATGCTCATTAATTAAGTCTCACAACACCCCTGTCAGGCACATGTTATCTCCTTCTAACAGATGGAGAAGCTGAGGTATGGAGGTAAGACCATGACTTCCTCAAAGTCACACTGGGATCAGGATGCTGTGGGTCTCCTGATTCCAGTCCTACACTCTAACTTGCACTTGGTGAGAGAAATTCAAAGCCAGACTGTATGTTTTTTGGGGGGACAGTGCTGTCAGCAGATGTACAGAGACTTAGATGGGTCTTGGGGTGGGGTGGGAAGATACTGATGTCTTATTTATCCAGCCCCCCCCCGGAAGAGGTGCTCGGGAACACGACACACATGGTGACAGCATGAAGCCATTCTCTCTTGTCTTTGAAAATGTGACGCTTGCCTTCCACCACCGCAGGCACCTGTGCTGGGAACCAGGGTGGTAGTGAACGAGGGAATGGGCTGTGACAGCGGCAGGCTCTTTGGAGCTTGGACCATCTTCTCCTGGTGTCTTGTGTGTTGCTGGCCATGTTCTCGGTGCTGAATGGTAAATAATCTGAGCGCTCTCTCTCTCTCCCACAGTCTGCGCTGACAGATGGGATTGGAGCCCTTGTGGCCACCAATGACAGAATCCAGGCCTTCATCGATAACTTGCAAGGCACATGCAGGAACATCGAGGTACTGCATGCAGGTCCTCAGGATCCTGTTTGGGGGGGAGGGGGAGCCCCATAAAACAGTTCTGAGCTCAGAGAGGGGAAGCTCGTTAGGCCCAGATAGTTTGGAAGCTCCGCTGTTGGCACAGATGCATTTTTCCTTTAGTTTGCTGCATTTGAAGATGACCTGGAAAACCAAAGTCCCGGTCTGCTCTGCATGGACACTCCATGACAGGAATTTGCTGTTATGTCCTAATAGTTTTTTCGTTGCACTGTGATACAATGAGTGATGTTTCTCTAGCTGGCTGTTGTGGGGCTGCATTTCAGTGGCCAAGTGCCTAAGATATCGTTCTAAGGTACCTTCCATCTGAGGCTGTCAAAGGGCTCTACTGGCAATAATGAATTAAGCCGCCCAACCTCCCCGTGCGGTAGAGAAGTTCATTATCTCCTTTTGCAGTTGGGGAAGCTGCGAAGCAGTGGGGATGTATCTTGATCACACAGTGGTGGATCTGGGATTAGAACCATGGAGTCCTGACTCCCACAGCTAAGCTTCTCAGGAATTTTTTGTCAAAATGACCTGTAGTTTCAGCAAGGTCAAAGGTCTTTGCTGTTTTTTGTGTTTGCTCAATATTTTAAATTTTCCATTGGGATAAAAGATATGAAATACTTCATTTTGCTTTCAGTCAACCCAGCTTGAAATATTTTGGTTTGGTGAGCTGACCTGAAACATTTCATTTTGAGTCAGTCCAACATTAAACTGTATTTGCCTATAGAACTGTGGAGTCTCATGCGAGATGTAGTTTGGGTGTTTTATGTTCCCATTCTCTCATATGGGGCAGGCTCCTTATCTGGACTGCATCTCCCATGATGCATGTTGATCTCAGCTGACTGAGCCGCATAGTGCATTATGGGAGTCACTTGTCTGTGGCACAGGAAATGAACTCCAGAAATGATGTTTCAAAACTGGCATTTTTTGGAATGTTTCATTGGGTGAATTTTTTTGAGATTTCAACTTCATCCCAACTAAAGCAAATGTCAAAATATCAGAATTTCCCACGGGATGGAAATTCCAAGATTCACTTCGCTCTACCCAGATCTTTGCTTTAATTATGAAATCACGCTTCGTCCTATATAGCTTTGGGGGGTGTTGGAATCCTTTTTTTGAAATGCTCAATACAAATTTCAGATCTAGTATTACTAATGAAAAAGCATATTCAGCCCGGGCTCCGCACCTCATGAATCAACTGTCGAAACCGATGTCTAAGCCAAGCCAATTGAGCTGGTGACTGTGCTCTTTGCATCCTTCGAGCAGGATAACGGCAAGGCCCAGAAGCAGGCTCTGTGTGAGAAGTTTGACCGCATGAATGCCATCTTGGAGGAGAGGAGGAAGATCATGCTGCAGAGGATCACCTATGAACAGGAGGAGAAGACCCAGCACCTGAAGTCCCTCACCAGGTCGTACAGTGAACACACCGAGTCATCCTCCAAGCTGGTGGATGCAGCGTTGCAGTCCATGGAGGAGCTGCAGATGGCTGTCTTTGTGCAGGTAACGTATGAGGAGGCTGAGTGGCCGTCGTCCCCTTGTTCAATCTTGGGTCTCCTGTTGCCACGGAGAACCGGTATGCTTTGTTTCCCAGAGCCAAGAGATGAACAGGGTAGGGGGAAGTCATGAGTAGGACAAGACTGGCTTTAAAATACAAGCAATCATTGCTTTTCAAGGCAGACTTGCAACTCAGTGCCATGGGAATGGAGTCATGTCTTCCTTTTCCCACCAACACCTTGATGGCTTGGAGTCACCCTCTTGCTTGAGATCCTTCAAGTCCGGGAAGGTGTGGCTCTGGAATAAGGAGTTGGCACCACTTTTAAGGCAGAGGAAACTAGGCTCTTGAGCAGACAGCTTCTGTAGGGAAAATCCTAAGAACAGCCAGGCTTGAGGAGAGCGCTTGGGCTGGGCTTTGTGCTTGTTTGTTGTTGTTGTTTGCGTTCACAATTAAGCCAAACCCTAAATGTGGTGTATTGGATTTATACACAGTGTGTATCCTTTATAAGGAGCAGGATGGGCAGGGATGGTGTCCCTAGCCTCTGTTTGTCAGAAGCTGGGAATGGGCGACAGGGGATGGATCATTTGATGATTCCCTGTTCTGTTCATTCCCTCTGGGGCACCTGGCACTGGCCACTGTCGGAAGGCAGGATACTGGGCTAGATGGACTTTGGTCTGACCCAGTGTGGCCGTTCTTATGTGGGAACTCCATCTGTTCTGTGTGTGTGTCTCTCTCACACACACACACACACACACACACACACACACACAGACTCGCCAAGTTTTTATCTTGATTTTAGTTCTATTCCCATAATCTCACCTTTCTTCTCTTCTCCTTTTCTGGCTACTCAGAATTCCAAAGTTCTCATACAGAAGTAAGTAGAACTCCCTATTTTTATGTTCACATTCTGACCCCAGTTTCTCTGAGGGACTGGATCATCTGGGATCGTATCTTCATTTCCTTTCCCAGAATTTCCGAGGTGACCCAGAGCTGTGAAGTGGAGGCGCTGGAGTCTGGTTATGACAATATGGAGCACTATGCTGTGGATTTCAATGCTGAGGAGCGGGTGCTGTATCAGTTGGACTTCATTAAAGGTGAGAGGAAATGATCCGGGCTGGTCAGAAATGGGAGCCTTGGAGAGGAGGGTTTGCTGGTCTGTCTGTATGCTCACAATGCTCCGTTCACCGTGGTATCGGGGGCTACTTCAACCAGTGTAAAAACTTTCCTTCTTTTCTTGATTCTAATGTCACTTGTGTCCCAGTTGTGCCACCTTGTCCATTTCACTGGTCGCTGATTTCAGTGGGACAATGTGGACTCCTGAATATCAGCAAGGGTGTCAGAATCCAGCCGTTGTCCTGTCTTTGTCGGGGAGGAGCCGAGAGCCTTTTTCCTTGCATTGGACGTTTGTCCCTGTTACACCTACCAGAGGCCTGTTGGCTGCTCCTCTGGAAGCCGCCTCCTTGGGGTTCTCCACTCTGTGTCCTGGGATGGACGCATTGGAGGTGCAGTGCTGTGTTCATTGGGTGCATTTCTCATGAATGAGTGAAGGAAAGAGACAGGGAGGCAGGGAGGGAGACAGCTGGGGAGCAAAGAGAATGAGAGACGCGGTGTAGGATGCCACAGAACCAGCACCTCATGGTACCTTTGTGCTGTGTTCAGTTGGGGAACCTTTTCCTCCTAAGGGGAAGCACCCAGGGTTGAATCCAAAGCCCACTGAAGTCAGTGGAGAGGTTCCTATTCACCCCAATGGGCTTTGGATCAGGGTTCCAGTCTCTATTCCATTCTGGGTACAGAAATCCAGCTCGGCTAACTCTGACCCCAAAGTTCCTTTGAGAGGGGAACAGGAATCCAGCTCAGCTCCTTCCCCTTCAGCAGAATCCCCATTTGAGTTGTTCTTCCCCAGAATCCATTCACGCTGGGGAGGGACCGCTGGGTATTTTCAGTAATTCTCCTATTTCCCTGTAAATCGATAGACCGAGGGGTTCCCCTGCTCTGAGACGTCCTCAGCTGACAGTTCTGCTGACGGCCGGCGTCTATGAAATCTAGGGGTCTGTGCCCATCTGGACTAGGTGCTGTCTGCATCCCTTTCACATTGCCAGGGCTATGTATTATCCTTGTAGTTGATGAGTCCGAAGAAGGGGCAGAGGAAGGAGAGGAAGACGCGGTGTGGGGGGATGCTGAAGGTGCAGCAGCAGAGTCTGTGGCAGAAGGGCAAGTGGCCAACAGTGAGGGCAGAGAGGAGACCCTGAACGTCGCTGCGGACGGAAAGGAAGAGGAGGCCGAAGGAAAAGCCCTGATGTTAAAGGAGGCTGAGAGTGAAACTGCTGGGGAAGCTGATGCCATGGCTAAACTACCAGGTTCATCTCAAGCTGCGGAGTCGGATGTCCCAGCTGGCAAAGAGGGAGCTGAGAGAGAGCCGGGCACTGCCCAGCAGGTAATGGCTTCAGGACTCTCCTGATCACTACAACAGGGATGCGGAAGGACCCGGGACACACACGTGCTGTGGTAGGATTGTCCTCTCAAAAGCCAGGGACACGCTCATGCGTGACATACAAGGGAGGCGTGTCTGCATAGCCAAGCGTGTGTGACGTGTCAGTGTGCACATGTGTAATATAATCCCCGTTAGGGTGGTCTAGGCCAATGGTCCTCATCTTCTCCAGACCAGAACCCTCCCCTCCCCCCATTGAGCAACCTGGTGGTTGTGACTGTCCTGAGACCTGTTTGCACCCCCCCAATTTAACCCCCCCCCATCCTACGCTATCATGAAAGTGCTTCACAGAGGAGCTGCAGAGCTGAGGGAGTGGAGGAGCTCAGGATTAATGAAATCCTGCCCGCAGCCCACCCTTGTTCCAGTGATAAATGGTGTCATTAAAGACATTGGACCCTGAAGCAGCACCCTTCTGACACATGTTTGAGAAGGAAAAATCCTGGTCAGGTCATTCGGCCCATCTCTTGACAAGGTTTCTAGAAGGCATCTGGTATAAATTCCTTCCCCACCCGAGCATTTCCCTTACAGCTTTTCTCGCTGCCTCCCTTTCCCCCTCCCTGGTGTTTGCTTTTTAGAAGGATGCAGCTGGTCCAGATGGGGCTGCTGTAGACTCTCAGGGGTCCGGGGCAGAAGCTGCCGTGTCTAGCAACGCCTTGCCAATGATCGCCCCAAATCTTGCCCTCCAAAATAATCCCACGGGAAATGCCCTTGACGCCCCAGCTGAATCCGCAGCCCAGGGCAGGGGAGCTACCGAGACAGAGGAAGCCACTTGCTTTGTCCCAGCCGAGACATTCAGCACCTCGGACAGCTCAGCCGGGAACAAGAAGGAGGTTGACCCAAGCGACTGCGGTGCCAGTCCCGCCAAAGGCAGCGCGGAGTGGGGACTAGCTGTGGCATCTGTCTCCAGCCAGGTCAGTGAGATCCTCAGTTTGAGGCTATTGGTTGTCACCCCGGCTGGGTGTCCATTGATTGCACATTAGTGTGGGTGCGTTAGCAATACATTGTGTGGCATTGGGAAGTGATCCAGGAAACCTTCCAACTGAGAAGTGGGTATTCACCCAGGAAAGCTTATGCTCCAATACGTCTGTTAGTCTATAAGGTGCCACAGGACTCTTTGTTGCTTTTTACCGATCCAGACTAACACGGCTACCCCTCTGATACTTCCAGAGTTTGTTACACCCAGAGAGAGAACGAAATGGAGCTGGGAACAAGTTTTCATCCACGTGTTTTTTTTTTCTTAATGGGGAAAAAAATGCAGATTTGGCAACAAGGAAACATTTGTGTCAGTTTCACCTCAATTGTTGTGGCTGGAATTCGCCCCCCCCCGGAAATAATCCAAATAATCCACATTTGATTTGGGCATTTTCAAAATGAAATGTTTCCATGTTTTTGGTCTGAAATGACATTTTTTGTTTAGAAATGTCTTTTAATGTTATTAAAGGAACAATACCAAAAGGTTTGTAAAGAAGCCTGAAACTGAAATGAAACATTTCATTTTGGGTTGAAGAAAAACATTTAGTTTAGCCTGATATGATCTTTTTATGGACTTTTTGATTCACTGAAAATTTTGGACATTTTTTCTTGAGTTTGACCAGAAATAATCCCTCCCCTCTCCCCAATTTTTGGCATTGTCAGTGAACTGAAAAACCTGTTATTCTCACAGCTCTAAATGTAAGTGCTGGGGGTTTCCCCTCTATTATTCAGGAAATGTTCTGGAATCTTTAATTTCTGGATAGTCACCACGGATGGGTGGGTGGGATCTTCATTCAATGCCTTACCCATGGAAGGTTCTGAGACCAGTTCAGCACCACCCTACCACTGCACTGCAGCAGCTGTGATGGGTCTGACTCCAAAACCTGGTGTAACTTGTGTCCTTTAGATCCAGAGGAGACAGTGCTGCTGGCCAAGCTGCAGCAATAAATCCCTGCAGAAGTGGGAAGGGAAGAGAATGCTAGCTGTTGCACGGGAATCGTCCCCCATTGCTGGTCACCTTTCATATATTAGTCTTCCCTATTTTCATACTGGGCACTTACTTTTGCAGGCAGAGTTCTCCAAACCCCAGAAACAATCCTCTGACTGTTAGAATAATAGAATTATGGAAAAATAGGGCTTGAAGGGACCTCAAGAAGTCATCAAGTCCAGCCCCCTGCACTGAGACAGGATCAAGTTATCCCTGACAAGTCTCTGTCTAACCTGGTCTTAGAAACCTCCAATGATGGAGGCTTGGAAGCCTATTACAGAGTTTAACTATCCTTATAGTTAGGTAAACTTTCTAAATTTCCCTTGCTGCAGATTAAGCCCATTACTTCTTGTCCTACCATCAGTGGACACTGAGAACAATTGGTCACTGTCCTTTCTAACAGCCCTGAACATATTTGGAAGACTGTTATCAGATCTCCCCTCCGCCTTCTTTTCTCAAGATGAAACATCCCCAGATTTTTAACCTTTCCTTATAGGTCAGGTTTTTTATCATTTGATAGCTCTCCTCTGGACTCTCTCCAATTTGTCCATATCTTTCTTAAAGAGTGGCACCCAGATTTGAACATAGTCCTCCAGCTGAGGCCCCATCAGTGCAGAATAAAGTGGGACAGTTACCTCCCATGTCTTACATACAACATTCTTGTTAATACAGCCCAGAATTATATTAGCTTTTTTTTGCAACTGCATCACATTGTTGGCTCGTATTCAATTTATGATCCACAAAAACCCCATATCCTTTTCAGAAGTACTACCACCTAGCCAGGTATTCCCCATTTTGAAATTGGGCATTTGGTTTTTCCTTCCTAAGTGAATTACTTTGCACTTGTCTTTATTGAATTTGATCTTGATGATTTTAAACCAATTCTCTAATTTGTCAAGATCATTTTGAATTCTAATCCTGTCCTCCAAAGTTCTTGAAATGCAACCCCTCCTAGCTTGGTGTTACCGGCAGATTTTATAAGCATACTCTCCACTCCATTACCCAAGTCATTCATTAAAATATTGAATAGTACTGTCCCCAGGACTGGCCCCCCTGGGACCACACTAGGTATGCTCTCCCATTTTGACAGCAACTCATTGATAACTACTTTTTGAGTAAAGTCTTTCAATCAGTTATGCACCCACTTAATAGTAATTTAATCTTGACCACATTTCACTAGTTTGCTTATGTGAATGTCATGTAAGACTATGTCAAAAGCCTTTCTAAAATTAAGATATAGCATGTTTACTGCTTCCCCCTCATCTACTAGGCTGATAACCCTGTCAAAGAAGGAAATTAGATTGGTTTGGCATGATTTGTTCTTGACAAGTCCATGCTGGGTATTGCTTATAACCCTATTAAAGATTCATAGCTTCCAAGGCCAGAAGGAACCATTGTGATCATCTTGTCTGATATCCTGGGTAGCACAGGCCAGAGAACTGCCCCCAAATAATTCCTAGAGCAGACGCTTTTAGAAAAACATCCAGTCTTGATTTAAAAATTGTCATTGATGGAGAATCTACCACGACCCCTGGTAAATTGTTCCAATGGTTAATTACTCTCACCATTAAAAATGTATAATTTATTTTCAATCTGAATTTATCTAGCTTCAATTTCCAGCCATTGGATCGTGTTATACTTTTCTGCTAGATTGAAGAGCCCATTATCAAATATTTGTTCCCCCATAAAGATACTTAGATGTCACCTCTTAACCTTCTCCTTTATTATTATTATTATTATTATTATTATTATCCTCTCGCTGCATACAAACTGATTGACAGTATCTTTCCAGGTGTTGAAGTTAGGCTGACTGGGTTATAATTCTTCAGGTCCTCTTTGTTCCTCTTTTTAAAGATAGGCACTAAGTTTGCCCTTCTCTGGATTTCTGGGACCTGACCGACATTCCTCGAGTTCTTGAAGATAATTGCTAATGTTTCCAAGATTGCTTCAGCTAGATCCTTAAGTACCCTAGCACGAACTTAATCAAACCCTGCTGACCTGAATATATCTAACGTATCCAAATATTCTTTAACCTGTTCTTTCTCTGTTTTGGCTTTCATTGCTTCCTCCTTGATGTTAATATTAATTGTGTTGAGTATCTGGGCACCGTTAACCTTTTTAGTGAATACTGAAATGAAATAGGCATTAAAATCCTCAGTCGCCTTGATGACATCAGTTATTAGCTCTCCTTCCTGCTAAGTACAGGACCTACACTTTCCTTCATCTTTCTCTTGCTCCTAATGTATTTAAAGAACCTCTGTTCACCTCGGTATGGTTATTACACTTCCAGGTCTTTCTGAAGATCAGTCTTTTCAAAGAGAACCTGTCCAGGATCAGGGAAGCAGCCACTGGCTCCCTTTTCATCCTTCTCTCAACTGTGAGATACTGGGCCAGATTCTATGTAACTATTCACCTACACCCATTAAGAACTTGAGGTGCACTCATGTGAAGGGTTAATATCACTGACCACTTCTTTGCCAGCACAGACTGTGCATAAATGGCCCTGTTTTAACAATGAAACTATTCTTCCCATCCCCAGTGGAAATAGCAGGTTTTAGGTATTTCTTACATTTTATTTTACAGATGGGAAAAAATGTACTTTTAAAAAAATACTCCAGAATAACTCCCAAGCATTATCCCTGAAAAGCTTCATGATGATCAAACTTTATTTCCCTTCTAGGCTGGGGAACCTGAACTGCTCTTGCCTGCTCCAACTAAATGTATTTTTAGACTCTCTGTTCCCGTCCTCCTCTTTCTGAAGGATTGTTACGATATAATGATGCTCTGCACTTGTGCAGCGCCTTTCATCTCAAAGGCTCTTGCAGAGATGGGTGCTAGTTTCCCCTTCTGTAATGGAGATAATGAGGCACTGTGAGGACAGATTCTCAGACAGTGGCCTGTGCATGCATCAGGTAATTGCTCATGGAAAACACTATTTGGATGGATTTGCACCAAGTTACTGAACTTGCACTCACAGATTAAGCACCCAACCTGTCTGAAAGTCCATTCCACCATGAACTATCAACCCGGGATTGTTTAGATCCCAGCTAAGTGGAAGGGAGTGGAAGGGGCAATATGGATACAGTTGAGAACCACTGTTCAGGGGCATCTCAGTGTCCTAGTCTCTCTAGCTGGTTCTCTAAGAACAGACGGTCAGAGAGGAGCACTCCATCTTTCAGCCCGCTAAGGCCAGAGGTGGTGGGTAGGACACGATGTGGCATAGACACACAATGAGGGTCACCACCAAAATGATTCCTGCAGAAAACTGAAAATGGGGTGAGATTCCTAAAGACCTCTTTTGATGAGTCTTGAATGCTGCTGTAAGCAATTGTCAGCAGTCAACGAGAGGGGGCTCCACATCTCTACGTGACATGGGGGCTTTGGTGCTGGAATGAATGGGCTGCCTCACAACGAAGGGCAATTCAGAGGCCTGGACTAGCCCCTGCCTTGCTTGCTTCTATGTTTCCTACCGAGAGGGCACCTCTTGCTGTTAGTTGTACATTCCCATCTGATCACAGCATTGTGTGTGTGTCTCATTCTCCACCAGGCTGTAGCTTTGTGCCTTTCAGTGCTGGTCTGGGTGATCATCCTGACACACCTTTGGAACTCAGTGGCCGTGTGCCTTCTCCGGGGCTGGGAGTGTGGCGTTTCAAGCCAGGTATAATACCCTGAACCACAGATGATCACTGAGCTTCCTCATTCCCTCCCCCTCTGTTAGAGAGCAGGTTAGAGAGTTACAAGGGATGGAATGAGGCGCTTGCCTCTGCTCTTTGGAGCAGCGCTGAATATAGGCTCCTTCTTGCTTTTCCAGGACCCCGCTGTGGTGGATGGGAAGAGTGAAGAAACCAGTGAAACTCCATTTGGGAGTAACTTCAATCCTGCTCTGTGATGTCAAGACAAGGTGGGTGCAGAGCTCCTTCTGCTTCCTGGGGTGGGCGATTCCCCACTGTCCCCAATCCCTGGCCCTCCTTTTTCATGGGAAGAGCCCCCCTTGGCTGAGACTGGGCAGGGAGACACTGGGTAATTCGCACTGGTTTCTTACCTCAATAATAGTAATTAATACATTAGCATCCTGATATTCAGAGGCACCGAACACCTACAAATCGGACACAAGTTGTAGGTGCCCAGCACAGCTGAAAGTCAGGCTTTTTGTTTCTAATTTGTAGTGAAGTTCTCAGCCTGTTTGGCTAGTGTGAGCTCCTGCACATCAGAAGGGTCCCTTCTGGCCTCAGCCATCTATGGCGTTTGTGCTCTCCAGCCAGGGTGCTTTGGAGGGAAATGTAAAATCCGCATTAAATATGTCATGGGAAAGCCATGTAAAATCCTTAGATATTTCGTGTGTCTGCCTCTGGCATGCAGTGTCTTCCTCCCTGCATTTCAGAGCCCTGGTGTAGCAGGAGTGTCTGGGGAGACTAAAAGGTTGTTAGACACCCAGTACTGGTGTTCATTTGTTTTTAGCATTAAACTCCATTTCCGTGAAATGGACTCTATGGACATTGATGTTACTGTGTGAATGTCTTTCATTCAGACACTAGAGAAACCAGGTCAGACCTCTAACACGATTGTGTTGGTTTTTCGCAGGCCCACCTTCCACGCTCAATAGCTTAAACCCAACAGAGTTATAGTGTCTTGTTTCCCTGGTGACATTTTCTGATCTGAAATCACCCGTCCACCCATCTGGATTTTTGTTTGGAAGAAGAGAAGGCAGCTAGACTGGATCATGGGAGGAAGTGACCCGTGGCATGTGCCAGCATGGGACTGCTAGAAGCTGGACTGTCTACATTTAGAAGAGCAAAGGCCAGCGTGGTCACTTATCACCCCAGGGCTGCAGATAATGTACAAAGAAATGTACATGTAAATAAACCCCAAAGCCGCCGCACACTCACTGTCTGCCTGTATCTGTGCCAGTAGCGGGCAGCCCGGGATTGGAGAAATGGGCATGAAGGGAGGAGGGAAGGGATTGGGAAGACGTGTTGCCACTGTAGGGTGGCTTTGTGGGCTCACCCTGGGTTTCAGCAAGGCATACTCCTCTGGCATCACGTCCGGGATTTTGCCTGAAATCTCAGCTGGGTCAGATGGAATTAGATGCTGGTTGACAAGCACTTGGTGTCCCAGCGTGTCACTGGGAAAGCAGTTGGGACACCCCAGAGGGGGGGATCTCTGGCAGCCTTTCGCTGTAGTTTTCCAGTTAGCTTTGGGGGGTAAGTCCCTGCATCTGGGAACGTGTCTTTCTAAACAAACACCGCCCCGCCCCCCGGGACAGACGACACCCCGACCGCACCCAGCTCTGCTTTGGGTAGCTGCAATGACCTCTGCTGTGCATCGGGACCGCGGGGGGCTCAGAACCGGGGCGGATGTTGGCTGTGCCAAGGACCCGCCCCGCCCCCCCGCAGGATCCGTGCCCCGGCCAGCGCTGCCGGCCTGGGGCGCATTCGGGGACTCGTCTCACTCTGGTTCTGAACCAGGGTCGTGTGGAGCCAATGGAACGCCGGAGTCAAGCCGGGTCCGAAATGCCAACAAACGACTTTCCGTGTAAATCCAGCCCCTGTCGGAGGTTCGAACCTGCCCCCCTAGGAAAAGGCAGCCCTGGGGAGCCCCCCTCCGTGCGTCCCCAGCACCTCAGGGCGCCGCTGTGAGAGGCCGGCCATCCCCCTGGCATCGTGCCTGCGCAGGCCGGGTCCCGCAAGCCCCAGGGCTCCGGCCGGGGCCGGCGGGCGTTAAGCGAAGCAGGCTTGTTAAAATAGAGTTTATTGCGAGCTCGCCCACTGCGATGCTTTAATCCACGGCACACAGAGAACACAGGTAACAGCGGCGCGGGACGGAGCGAGAACACACCTGGCCCCGTGGGACGCACACCTGGCAGCGACCCCCCGCCGCCCAAAGGGCGAAGGAGGAGCAGGGGGGGTTTATACCGCCCCCGACCCTCCTGGCCCCGCGCTCCGGGTCCCCTTCGCGCCCCAGGGGCGCCGGGCCGACCCCCCCGCCAGCATTGACACTTGTTACAAGAATAAATTTAAATGTTCAACCTAAAAACACCCCCCCTCTCTCCTCCCCCAGCCCGCCCTCACTTCCCGATGTTCTGCAGCAGCAGTTTATTGCTCAGGGCTTTCTGGGCCAGTCTCTCCTCCCGGGACATCTCCAGGAACTCCCGCAGGAGGTGGAAGGTCAGGTCGAGGGAATTGGGTCTGCCGTCTTTCCGCCTGGAGGAGTAGGGCGATCGCTCCTTCCTTCGCAGCTCCGGGGGGCTCTCCGCGCCCCCGGCCTCGCAGGGCCCGAGTGGTGTGTGGAGAGAGGGGGGCCCCGCTTCTGTGCCCGCTGAAGGCATCGGGGGCTTGGCCCCCAGCCGCGGTCTCCTCGGCCACAGTTCCCAGGCTGGATCGGTGACTAGAGCTAGCTGCGGGGCAGCTCCCCGGGGCCGCTCCAGCGGGGAGCCCTTCTCCGACGGGAGAAACAGCAGGAGGAGGACGGAGGCAGCCGAAATCATCCTGCTCCTCATCGCCTCTGCTTCCGGGGCTGGGCGCCTGCGAAGAGAGCCCGGGAGGGGTTACCCAGAGCCAGCGGGGCGCGGCGAGCCTCCGCCACGGGCAGCCCCGACCCAGGCACCTTCCCCCGTGCGAGCCGCATCGAGCTCCCGGAGCTCTCCCCGGGGCGGTTCCCCGCGCGGCCAGGAGCCAGCCCTGTCCCCTTAACACCGGGCAGGGAGGCGATAGACACTCCCCCAGATCTCCGCCCTCAAAGCCGGGCGCCCAAGGCTCGCCCCAGCCCTGCCCCGGGGGGTACCAGCCACCCCAGAGCTTCGGTCACATCGACCGGGGGGATGTAACTTTCCTTCCAAGTTTGCTTAGCTGCGGCCGCTGGACGAGGGGCTTCGGGAGCAAAGGGGAAGCCAAGGAGCGCCCCGCATCGCCCTTGCCCAGCCAAAGCCTCGTGTCTGCCGGGAGGCACCCTGGCCTGGCCCCGGGCACAGCCCTGGGGCGGGGGGGACTCACAGTTGCGGTTCTCTGGAGAATTCAGCCGCTGGTCCCAAGCGCAGCAGGTGGCAGGATCCCCTCGCACATCGAAACCATTGCGAGCCCTCCAGGCAGGGCTATATATACCCCCCGCCGCCTGCCCCACCACGTGACGGGCTGCTCGGTTCCTCAGACGGGTGGTTTTTTGGGGGGGGGGGCGCAGATCTACTCCCCGGATCGGGCAGCTGCTGGAATCGTGACGTGCTGGAGACCAGCTGGGGAAGGGGCGCTGGGCTCCCAGCGGAGCGGCGCCGGATCGCTGGGCTGCACACAGGGGACGGGGTGGGGACGCTGATGGAGGGGGGGGGTGTTAATTAGCACAAACATCTGCCGGCGCAGCGAGGCGGGCGCCGGCCTAAGGGCTGGAGCTGTCCGAGGTGCTGACTAGGGCGACCAGACAGCAAGTGTGAAAGATCCGGACAGGGTGGGGGATAATAGGCGCCTATATAAGAAAAAGCCCCACATATCAGGACTGTCCCTATAAAATCGGGACAGCTGGTCACCCTAGTGCTGACAGGCCGGAGGGTTGTTCCCGGGAGGAGCGTTCCCAATGCGGCCCGCACGGCAGGGACAGGCCGGGGTGCCCTGCTAGGGGTAGGGTGACCAGATGTCCCGAATTTATAGGGACAGTCCTGATTTTTGGGTCTTTTTCTTATATAGGCTCCTATTACCCCCCACCACCATCCTGATTTTTCACATTTGCTGTCTGGTCACCCTAGCTAGGGGGTCTGGGGAACCGGAGAAAACATGGCAGTCTGTGTTTGTTGTCTTGGCCCGTCCGGCTGGGGGGCCATGCTACCTCTGTCTGACATACACAGCAGCCGGCTTTCTATGCCTTCTTTCCTTAACAAATACACCGGTCCCCCACCTCTCGCCCCATCCCCACCCCAACATTCAGTGCCCAAAGGCCGGCCCGAATTCCCTTCACAGGCACCCGAAAGTGGCCTGGTTCCCGCCCTGCATTGGAGCCTGCTGGGTGGTCAGCACTTTTGCAAAGAAGCCACTTAGTTTGAAGGAGTCTGGCTAAGGATTTGGGGGCTCAATTTTAGGCAGTCTTAAAAAAAAATCTGTACCTCGGTAGGCCCCACCACACGCTGATACATCAATGCATGTGTTGGGTATGCATAGGGGTGTGTATGTGTGCTGTGCAATAGAACAAACTATCAATATTATTTATATTTCTCTCTCGGCCTATGTGCCCCGTCAACGTTGGAGACTGCCCACTAACATGGCCTGCGTTGGACTAAGCCAGTGGTTCTCAACCTATTTACCATTGTGGGCTGCATATGCAGCGCTCTGTGTTTTATGTGGGCCCTACCCGCACAACAGCTATACTACCTGTTTGGCCCTGAGCCTGCCACATGGGCTGAAGCTGTGTGCTGATTGGGCTGCAAGCTGCCCCGCGAGTGGTCGGTCCAGAACCACTGGACTAACCAATGAAGCTTTGCAGATTTAGATGAGTAAAAAAATGTGAGCTGAGGTGTCTCTTTCATAAGTTGTGAAGGTAAGTGATTTACCTGACTAGCGTGTCTGCAATTCTCCTGTTCCAGTGATTCATTTGATGAGCTCATGGAGATTAAAACTTCACTTATGCTCTTGAAAGCAATTTTCCTCCTTTGGCTAAGTACAGAGGTAAATACTTTTCTTTGCCTAATCACCCACCAATGTATATGCCTCTTAATGCAAATTGTGGCTTGCAGGGTGGTTCTTCACACACACACACACACACACACACACACACACACACACACACACAC